TAAAAAATTGTACTTCAAATTATATTTTTTTTTTATTTGCTTAACGGGAGAATGAGTAATTAACTTATTACTTCTTACTCCCATTGTATTCACCACTGATTTCGTTTGTCGGTAAGCAAATTTTTATTTTTCCACAACATGATTTTGATCACGCCCCCCCCTCCTCTCACCAGGTTGTTTATACGACGTAAATATACCGCTTTCGAGTATCTTGATATTTGTGTTTTGATTCGACCTATATGTTATTGATTATAATATGCACACACCTACTTATTGCACGCCGACCGTAATTCTCTAGAAAATACAATTTGCATTTATCGACATTTAAATTTATCATTTATTTATTTTTCTAGAAGGAAGGTTAGACACATTCACATTGTCGACTTCTGGTTCTTAAAAAATAGAATTATTAAAACTATTATCCCTACTCTCATTCCCTTTGATTAGATTCACCTGACGCATCATCACACCTTAGTTCTCAAAAATGATAGAGATATTTTTCTCCTCGTCAGTCTTGTTAATGGCCAATTAACTACCGCTATAATCCATAAGCCTATAATAATATGGTGATTATCGAGTATAGTCGAGTATATAATTCAACTACTTTATTAAATCGACTGTTACACAATGCGAACGCAAACATTGCTCAATACTCTAGAATATATAGGTAATATATACACGGTCGAATCGCTATATCAGTGTTGAAAAAATATTAATAATTAATGCGTTCAATTAATTATACACGCATAAAACATAATATAATAATATGGACAACATCGTTTGGTTAACCCACCTATCATTGACCGATCCAGAAGAAGTGGGCGATGGGAACGTTTCTCCCCCCCCCCTCTCGTTCTATTCCAAACATACTCTTACCTAGTCCCAATGGCCAACGTACTCTAAGCTCGATTTTCATCATAAATTTGTAAATCGTATAACCGTATGTACACGATGAGAAAGTCCTTTTTAGAAACAAGCTGGTTCAAATTCATCAATAAAATATTAATTGGTCTTTTATCCGTTGAGATGTTATCAATTTTAAACTGATCGTAATAATTTGTCAATACGATAGTCTTTGGATAATATCGATACCGTGTTTGAAAATGGTATCTCTTTGACACCGATTTGTAAAACAATTAACCATCGTAGGTGTTAACCATAGAGCTTGTACACAAAACCGTGCCATAGAGTACTACATTTTAATACGTTGTTTACCCGACCAATGACTTATAGATATTAGATATAATGAACGAATTATCAAACGAACATTACGCAACCGTTGGTAAAATAATTGTAGGTACTTGCACGCGAGGTTTCTTCTTTGATAATAAAAAGTCTTTGCAAAAAGATTTTTTCGAGTTTCTTCTCCGATGTATTACATAAATTTAACGTTATAAATTTAACCACGATCAATGAAAGCTAATTTGTCAATGGACGAACCGAAAACGTTCGAGTTTGTAATAAATAATAACTTAGTCCACGTTCAAGTTCATTTCTTGACAAATTGAACTCGTTCATGTCCAGTTCACACGACATGAACGCGTTCTTTCCCATCATTGCGCATATGTTCATATTATTAACCGACTGACCATACTCTTGTGCATTTTTATAACGCGTGTAATTTCATCGTACGAATATACATAATATGGCATCTGCCATTTAAACAATATCAAGTACGTATACAGTCTGACGGCATAAGAAATTGTTAATTTTTTGCAATCGCCGAATTGTTATTAATATTAATGAGACGTCGCGTGTTATAACATAATAATATTATTATTGAACACGTCGTAAATTGTATTATGGTAATATTAAATTAAATATGTAGTTTTTAATGCGTTCAAAGCGGATATTAATGTGAAACTGTATTGGTTTATCGTATACCTATGACGATTGACGACAACGGTCTAATAATTATTAAATTAATGTTGAACGTAGATATTATAGTATTATATTAAATAATAATTCTGTGTTATTTCTAACACGCACCCGTCTGAATAGTGTAATGTACGTGTGTGTGTCTTTTCGCAATTTTCGGATTCCTCTTACAATTATCGTTATTTCAATGTTCAACATTGAAATAATAAATGATTATCGTTTTAATTATTCCGCAGTTGTGCCTGCCCACTATATACTTAAGTAAAATGACTGATTTTAAATTATTTTTGTTTTTTTGTAATTTAACTCGATTTACCTTGTTGTTCGACGAGTTCGTGTCACGGACCCAACGGACAAGGACGTTATTTTTAAAAAAAATAAGAACCTATGAAATATTAACTATGTACTATTTGGTAAACGACTGAATTTAAAATAACAACAATATTAACGACAAATACTACGTATGTATTATATGTAAATTAACGAAGCTAACGAAAATCCACATAGACCGTTATAATATTATGTAAGCTATTTATTTTTTTTTCAAATTAAGTTTTCATAAATAATATATCTAATTATAATAATAACAAGTATAACAAGTATGCGCACATCTATCTACAAAGGTATAGGTAATAATAAGTGTATTAAATAAAACAAAATTGTTATATTTCTTTTATTATTATTATTTTTGTTTTTATTATGAATTATTTTCAAAATAAATGTTAAGTACCCTTTAAACTTTAAAATAATTCATTTTTTTAACTAGGTATAGAGACCTACATTCATTTTTAATACAAACTTAAACTATTTGTTTTCAATCTTCTATAGCCTTTGTATAATATTTATTAGGACCCTCGATATCTCAACTATACTCCTCAATTTGTCTCTGCTCACGCTATCCTCCATTGTCCCGTCCTGAACACATTTGATTCAGACCAACTTACTCGTAGAATATACTTATTTATAATAAACATGAAAAAATACAGTATGGTTTCAAGTATATTCTTATACTTATATTATGTTTAAGTTATAATATTTGATTTAACAACAAAAATAAAATATTCCACAAAATATCCAAAAATTAAATTTATCAAAGTGGTTTAGTCGATATTATATTATATTATATACCTACTGTGGCAACTTAAAATGTATAGCTGTCCCACTCGGCGTTGCCCTTGGTAACTCCCCAACTCCGTCGTTTTACCCTCCCATCCATCCACCTCATCACTACCACAACTCTCTATCTCCTTTCACCCTAACGCTCTTTTTTCATCATCAATAATAGCTCATTTATTTGTAAAGTATTTGTATATCTTCTCTTATGTTATTATTTTGTTACTAAAATTGTTTAGATAGCTAAATGAAAAACTCGTATAAAACAAAAAAACTATACGATAATATAATGTTTATTATACAATGTATAACATGTATTATGATTACTAACTTAAAGTTTCACTACCATGGATGTAATATGATTTCCTATTATCATGTAATATCCGTTTCTCCATAGTAACCCATAGAATTCTTATATATTTTATCAAAGTCAAGTGACAATGTGTGTCGTATTCTTATTGGTCATTATTATCTTGGTAATATTCAGTAACCAAGATCTACCGAGAAATTTCTAGAGTTGAGCTTATTTCAATTTTTCTCTGGTTTGAGTTACAATGGTCAGTTAATTGTTTAGTGTTATCAGCATAATATATATATTATATACCTACATATATATATATATGCATAGATATCATATATATATATGTATATATATATATATATACATATATATATATATGCATCTATATCCATAGATCTATATTTATAGCGTCGATGGAATACTGTCTTTATAGCAAAAACTTCTAGAACTTTCAAATTTCAATTCGAATGGTACTTAACTACGAATTATCAAGATTATATTTTTAATACCACAAAGCCATAACAAAAAATAGTTAGGTAGTGATATAAGAGCCATGTTAGTTTCAAAACGACAATAAACAAACAGCTGTGTAATGAATTCAATGACATCAATCGTAGAATTTATACTGTAAGGTCCATGTCAAATATTCACTTTGATTTTTAGTGTTGAAAATAATATCACGTTCAATGTAATGTTATTTTATCGTGCTGAAGTAAATAATAATTCGTTGAATTGAGTGAAGATGATCAATTCGCATAGTAAGTTGTATTGTTGTAGGTGCTACAGCTATTAACTATATTAATCGTTTTTTAATTCAAATATTATAATCTATTGTAGCGGTTCCCAATTTTTTTTATTCTTCGCCTCCCTGTAAATTTTCAAAAACCTCACCCCAAAATGTAACATTTCAACGTATTATTTGGTTTGTATTTGGATTCCATTATCCAAAAATCGGATAACGATTATCCGTTATCCTCCGATAAGGCATTCACCGTCAGATAGCCGATAGACGGTCGACAAATTAAATTTTAAACGTTGTACCTATCAATATTAGATTACCTGCGAAGAGTTAATCGTTATAACTTCGTATTAAATACTCGTAAAATTGTTATCGATGGACGACCGTCCGAAAATTAATTTATTGTTTTCAATTTTACTGTCTGTAAAATGGTATAGGTAATTATTTTAACAACAAAATTCTCGTTATTTCATCATCACTATATTCCTCCCGTGCAGTATCTAAATTCCCCCCCTCCACCACCAAAGTTGGGAATCACTGATCTATCTGAATATCTGATATTCGTGTGTGATATTTCAGAATACGTGACAAATGCTTTCACAAATGATTTGTATAACATAATTTACGGCGGAATAATAATAAACGATTCGGAAGAGACAAATCTGATGGGCGATATAATCAAAGTAAAATTAGAATCGCCTCAAAAAGAAGAGTTTATATCGCTGTTCGTCAAACTGAAACTGAGAAATATTGTACCTACCTATTTATTTATTTACTTTTAATAATATTGTTAACTATTTGTATAGAATCCGCGGCATCTTTATTATTTTTAGGAACCGCGAGACACACATTTTATACTTCGCGTGTGCCACACATTGTTATTGCAAAACAAACCGAGCGTATCGATTTTACGTCCTAACAAAGTATAATATTGTTCATACACGTCTCGTGCGAATGAAATAGGAAATTATGATTAATTTGCAAATTTCCTGCTATGATATTTCGCAGGTTTGTTCAGTCTCTAATGAACATAATTTCGAACAACTATGGGACGACCAAAACAGTAAACGTAAAATTGGATCATCGGATTCGTTTGTTGAAGAGCATAGCGACCGTGTCCCTTTAACGTCCTGCAGTAATAATAATCGGCCGACTGTCCCATTTGCAGAAGGTAAAACTATAAATAAGTTATCGGTATCTAAGACGAATTCGGTTTATTTGAAAACACGATGTATTGTCTGTAGGCACGCAATTATCGAACTTCGGACAAGAATTGTTTTTGAATCTGACACGGTGCACCGAAGGTGAAGAATGGATCAAAGCGGACGCGAACACGTGCAAAGAAATTCCATGTTTAGAATTTTTAAAAACACACGCGATTGAAATTGGACGTTTGCATTTTGTTGTCAAAAACTACATAAACTCCATTCAAAAAAATTGTAGTCGTGTTATCAAAGCCCTGAGGTTTGATTTAGAGACGGAAATCGATTCATATTATGTGTACGTGAACATATGGGTAAGTATATAAATATATATAATTAATTATTCCCATCGATTTTTGTGATTTGAGATTCTGAGTGGAATGACGAAAATACCATATAGTTACTTAAGTGATTTGTTGTACAATATGATATGATATAATATGAATGTGTTTTTAGTAACAGTGAGTACCGACATAAACCGGTATCGGTCGATATTGAGATTATCGCGGAATATCGGATATTGAGTTGTTTTTTTTTTTTAATCGATATTTTCCAAAAAAATTTCCATAATTTCTCTGGAACACAAAAAAAGGCATTCATTCCCAAGTGTTTGACACCCATATAGCTGACAAATAAACCAGTTTTGTTGGTTATTAAAAATTTCCCCACTTCCCCCGACATCCTGTTTGCCGAGACACGTAAATCGGTTTCATAATTATTTTAAATTAATATTATTGATGTTGTTATTATTATTATAAGACATTTTTTTTTCTCTGCCTCTCTTAGTTCTCTCTCAATAATCTCTCTTAATCCTTTAAAACATTCGTTGTTTTTCTCTTAGGTTAAATTTACATAATGTACCTGTACATTTATTTGAATAAGATCTGCTCCCCCAGCACAACCTTTAGCTCATGAGGGTACAGCAGTATTGTAAACAATATTTACTTCTTAAAATGTGTGTCTATAAAAATATTATTGTTACGATAAATTATCACTATAATTATTGTATAGGTACTGGTTATGATACTTCTGTTATCATTGCATAAAATTATTTAAGACAACTTTTTTGTTAAAATAATCTAACAGGTTATTTTAGATTCTGAGTGAAGCGAGGATATTTTTTAAGAACAAAAGTGATTTGTGTTTGCTGCACAAACTGATGTTTTAATATAACATGATTCTAATCACCTTTATCTTCAAAAATTATCATTTTTAAATTCAATATTCTATAGGCTTGAATGTATTCTATTAAATAAACATAATTATCAACACAAAATCAATATTATCTACAATATAGCCCATAGAAATAATTTCAATTTAAATACTATTAAAAAAAATTCATAAACGTATTAAAGAAAAAATAATATACAACTCATTAAATAATGTTTTTAACTATTCTAGTACGAAATATCAAAATGATATGTCTAACGAATTCGCTTAAATTTCTAAACAAATAGTGCAAATAATGTAAAAATCTCTTTTTAAGACTAATAATAATTTAACCAAACATATAAACAATAAAACTAAAAACTTCACGAATATCCTCTTTTTTTTTTTTTTTTTTGAAAATGCTGTTATGTATAAACTTAATTGTAACTGTGATACATTTTATATAGGTAAGACATATAGAAATTTTAAAATAAGTTATAAAGAACACATTTCTGAATTAAAATTAAAAAAGACTATAATAATATTTTTTGCAACTTAAAATAATAATACAATACTAAATTGGACTCCTGTATTGAGTATCGCGTCCAAAACAATGATAACTATATAAACAGTAAGGTACTAAAAATAGTGTATTTTTACAATTTCAGTTGCACAAAATACTTGACGTATCGGAAAATTATGATAGTTTCCTGCATACTACATTCCCCCCTTTAGACCATAATGTTTTAATAAGGTTTCAATATCTCGCGGAAGTTGTAAAAGCCGCCAAAGACAAACACGGGTGCAATTTAATATCGTCGGTGGTCCGTACAAGTATCTGCGAAGTCAAAAGTACAATTATGAATACGGTAAACTATTCGAATAAGTAATTATTATATTTATTTTTAAGTAAATGTAATAATATAATAAGTAGTTGACAGAAATGTACTTCGGTAATGTATAGAAATACCGGGGGGGGGGCTGTTTTTTAAAACTAGGAAAATAAAAATGTTTAAACCCATTATTAGGTATTGGGGTCGGATTTATTCTAAAAAATATTTGCTATCGTATTTGTCATACAACGGAACCACTGTCACGCTACTAGTTAAGACTGTAGACTTATACAAATAGCAATATTTTACTTCATACATACTTATACTTGAATACCTACACATATACTCGTAAAAATATTGATTTGAAATTCGTTCGTTATTTATTTCATTGTGCTACAAGCAACTATTATCGTCTTTCACTAGTTGATCCCCCCCCCTCTCCCCCCCTCCCGACTACATATATGCGTTACGCGTGCATAAAACAAAACAGATCTTGCACACTTTTCGATTTTAGATCACAAAGCCCATACAAAAAATGATTGTCGATTGGATGACCGGTGACGAAATAGCGGATAAATACGACGAATTTTTCATAGTGGAAACACTGGAAACGTCGTCTGAAAACGATTGGGATAATACTCACACATTAAGGTTAATTGGCGAAAAATAATTAGATTATTATGCTTAACAAACGCTGAGCAAGCATATTACGATATTATTATCTATTTTAATTACTGTTATCCGTGTTGCCGGTAGTTCGAAGAACACGTTGGATTTTCTCGGTAAATATGAGTTGAATAATATTTACGAAACGGGCAGAAATATGAGATTCCTGTTAAAATTGCTCGGTCCTAAGTCGAACATTAAAATCGATAAACTCAGAAAAAACGTGAAGACGTTAAACGACGAAGGTACACGGTACACTGTGCACGCTGTACAGTCTGAAACGTTCACGGTGAGAAATACGAAGTTAATTATGTATGTTTCCAGACGGATTTCTAATTATGTTGACCGACAATAACAGTAAGACATCGACAATGTTATCTGACGCGTACGCCGAGTCGTGTGCCGTGTTAATGGAAGTTTTGATAAATAATTACGATCTGTTTCTACACTTTGAAGGGTTCCGGAACTACATGTTATTCGGCCGTGGGGATTTTTACGCGTACATTATATCCCAGTTAGAGTAAATTATTGTTGAGACTTTATATGCCCGTTTAAGAATTTACATAAAACAATTTTATACAGACGACATTTCGGAAACGACGAGATGCACAATTATCAGTTGCAAGAAATTATGAAAAACGCGTATAGCTTGACGTCCGCCAAAAATGACAATATGAAATTGTTTAAGAACCTGAAGTATAGTATCGATTCTACCGGTAAACTGAACTGGAATAGTTTCAAATTCGAATACATAACAGACGAGCCACTAGAACGGGTGCACAGCCGTATAATAACGGCAAAACCCTTTAAACGCTAATAATTGTGTGTAATATATTTCAGATATTCGCCCCTTGTTTTAACTACTATGACGATATTTTTGAGTTTTTATGGAAATTGAAAAATATCGATTGGAGTACCAAGAAAATTTGGAATGAAATAAATCATTTTTTAAAGGAATCGTGCTACAAAATCGGTAATTAAATAATATACATATTTCAATTTGGAAATATAGCGAAAATCCACACAATGATATTCCGGTTTTTATAATACGGCGTATTAGTTGTAGAACTTCAAAATATTTAGAAACGTACTTTTGAAGTTTCAACCGTTTATAAAATTATACTGTCTAATTGAAATAAACCTATGCATTTTTATAAATTACATAGCACAATAACGTCGTTTTAAGTATCATATTTTATAACTGTATTGTATTTAAAGTAGGGATGATTTTATTACAACTTTAGTTTTTTTATACGAAAAAAAACCCTTGCATAACATTCTCCGAATTTAAAAATAAAAAGCCGACCCGGGATAATGGATGACGGGTGCAGCCACCGTTATAGGTAATTTGAATTACCTGTAAGCAACAATAAACCATTGCTAACGAAAAAACGATTCTGAGCGGAGTTCAGCTCATAGTTGTGCTTTGTAAACAATATATATCATATTATAGTAAAATAATTAAATAAATATTATATATTTCCTTTAATAATATTTATTTAATGTTGTACCGATTTTCCAATTTTCCCTACGTTTTTCTCGGCTGTCCCGTGTTTTTTCCCGGTTTGTTATAATTGCTGGAAAAACTTTTGAAGAAATCGAAACATGGTCCACCCAAAGTACCTTCTCAATCAGATTTCCTTTCAGAAAAAGTGCTATCACTGTAAATTAGAGCGAAATTGCTGGTAGAAAAGTTGCGCACAGATAATAAAAAAAAAAAAAATGTTCGCTCCCCTCAGAATCTAAAATATTTAGGTACCAAATAATTTAAAAAAACAAATAAATTATTCACATACAACCCGCTTTTAACATCGATTTTTTCATCGGAATAATATTGTAATGTTTTTTTCATTTATTAAAACTATTTATAAAAAAACAATAAAATATAACTAGATACAACCTATACAGAATTCACAAAAATTAAAAATATCATAAAACAAAGTTTTTAACTATTCATACAGATTATAGCTGCATCCGAGTTCCGTCTCAAATGTGAAATTTGAATTTACGGATAAACTAGTTCTTCCGTCCCAGGTTTTTAAAACGGATATACTAATTCTTTCGCATGTAATTTATTTAGTTACACGAATTCCGTCCCTTTTTGCATTTTCTACACTATATTAATATACTATAAAATCTACTACAGTAAAAATTTTATGATATTTAGAAGTGAAGATAATATCGCTTCGGTTATCTCACTAAATAATCGAATTTAATAATACTTTAAAACTTTCCAGTCATTATTTGTGCGTTTCCTTGACTGGTTTTATTATTTTGTATTGTATGTATATAGTAATATTGTAATACTTTAGTTAACCTTCTTTTTATTAGGGTCGGAATCGGTTTATAATACTATTTTCACCGAGGACGGAATTGTTATAGAAAAAGTAGTTGGGACGGAACTCATATGCAACCCATATTATAGGTATTGAACCGTTTCGTGCCTTTTCGGTCTTTCATCCATGTACCCGTTCATGAATATACGTATACATAATGTATAAAACAATAGCAAAAAAAATATGGGCATACTTCGCGCGATGGGTGGACCACTGTTGTAGGTGAGAAGTTGGGAATGTAGGATATAAAGGGGATTTAATTTATATCTATACGCAACGATAAACAATTGCTAAAAAAAAAAGAGAAAAAACGAAGTTCTGTTATACGTGTTTTCAAAGATAGTAATATTTACGATTTTTGTTAAAATTAGATATTCTTAAAAAAAAAAAAAAAAATACTAAGTATGCACATTATAAATACAATTTTTTTTTAACCACAAAGCACGTTTTATAATGAACCTACTATTCAATTTCCATGCATTGCTGTTTAGTTTAACAATTGTATCCATAAAATACTTATCGAATACAGATTACGTAAAAAAAAACACACTAAATTAAAATGTCTTTAAATAGTTCAAAAAGAGCACACATTTTTCAAAATTTGACTACGTTTAGAGAAAGCAAATATAAGTTTTCGTCCAAATTTTAAATCTCTACGAATATTTAGGGCTGAATTACAACAAAAAATAAAATTGAATTTAATAAAAGCATTATTTTCGCAAATTTGTCCATTCTTTCTAAGTTTTTTTTTTTTTGGATTTGCTTAAAAAAACTACATGATAAATCAAAAATAATTTTTATATTCACCAACTAAACTATCTAATGCAACAACAAAAATTTCTTATCGTTTTTTATTACTGGAGCAAAATTTCTGGTAGAAAACATAAGTTACAAAAATGTAATATTATGAAATCCTATTATGCTTTAAATAGTTGTCCGTTTATTCTTAAGTTTTTCCTAAGTTCTTTCTTGATTTTTCTGATTATTATGAAAACCGCTTGGAAAATCAAAAAATTACCCGCTTAATGTATCAACCAGATAAGATTTTCTTTTGGAAAAAACCCTCCACTTGATACATTGGGGCAAGAATTCTGATATAAATTGTGTACACGGTATAAAAAAACATAAATAAATAAATAAATATCATTGGAAAATCAATACATTCCTCGCTATGCTCCGAATCTAAAATGCCGATACTGGTGCCACTGGTGTAGGTGAAAAGTCGGGGAGGTAGGATGCATAAATTATACATCATGTTTTGAAATGCGATTATTTTTACGGGTTTCTCTAATTTTAGTTTTAAAATGCTATAAAAAAAAACTACTACATTACTCCGAACTTTTTTTTTACCACTTAATTCACCTAATTATAAAAGTCGTGTCAAATATTCAAGCCCTTCTTCGACATTTTACTACGTCTAGAAAAGATCAATATGAGTATTATTTAAACATTTCAAGTTTCTGCAATTTTTTAACCAAATTACAAAAAAAAAAACAAAATTGAAAATAATAAAACCTTTAATACTGTAAACATTCTCGTTTTTCCTATATTTCTCTGGTTTTTTTCCATTGTTGACAGAAAAAAAATGCACATAGTAAAACCAATACGCATTCCTTGCTGTGCTCAAAATCTAAATGTCGTGAACTTATATAAGTTTAATTACTTTTTACTTATATACCTACTATTATAGGTTCGGTTAATTTACGCATTGAATCAGACATTTTAAATCATCTCTCTCCCCATCTTGAAGATGTAAATGTTAATGACACTAAAATATTGGTGACTATAATATTATGTGTAGGCAAAGTACTGAATTCCGTCCTGAGAAACATACACGTGTTACTATGGAGCATGATGAAATGCGTAAGCGAAATCCAAAATTCCACGTTTGAAATGATCAAGGACGAATGGGAACTGTTTGAAAATCAATTGTTCGGAGCCGCCAACGTTAAAACGATAACAAATGCTCATACGTCGTCTTTGGAATCGATTAAAAAATTTGCGGACGACGCGTCTGTGGTAAATTGCATAAACCCTTTAATAAATAAGAATTATTTTATTGTTATTATTCAAAACCGTATCAAAGTATCTTTTTACTGGACTATTTCGTTTGGGGGGGGGGGCAAATGTTGAAAACTACAAATTATAACCGTGAAAATTTTAAAAACCAAATTATTTATCAAACTGAAAATATATCAATTATATTTTGAATTTATACATTTAGCTTATACCAACTGTTATTCCCTCTGTCAAGTAGATACCATAAAACATCAATATTAAAAGTTTTAATACAGTTTGAATAACATTTTTCTTATCTCTTTAACTTTTAAAGGTCCGAGTGCCAGCGCGTTTTTTTTTTACTCAAAAACATGCGTTATAGTCATATTTTACAAGGCATCGTGTATAATCGTCCGATTATTGATTATTTTTTTTTTTGTTAAATTAAGGAAGGCTTCCTATACCTACTATAGCACTGAAATCCGTTTTCAATATTTTATTCTCGAACCGTAAAATATGCCTTTAAAAAAATTCAATGCGTTGATAAATTATTATTTGAAATCAAATAAAAATTCGGCATGCAATCGTGGCTCTACAATGATGTTTGTCAATAATCAAAAATAAATGGTAAATGCAAAGTATTGCATTTATAATTAGTTATCCTAATTCCCGGAACAACGTCATAGTCGTTCATAAAAACGGCTTATAATAATTTCCTGGATTGGGGATAGCACATGTTATTAGTGCAGTACTATCATTATTACCGAACAAATGATTTTTTGATGAAATTAAATTATACTTTATTCAGCGATGTAAAATATTATTTTGTTGAATGTGAAACTTAATTTTAAAAATGTCAACCCCCGTCCATCCATAAACCCCTCTGTGTGCGCCACTGATATAGACTATGTTGTACTATATCTATGTCTTATACTTATCTATACCATTCTCGTATAACACCCTGCAATTGTTATCGATTTCAGTCTTTGGACGCGTTTGTGAAATCGTTGCAAAAAAACGTCGAAAAGTTCACAGAGATTTTTCAATATTTCGTGGACACGTTAAAATCGTCTCACCGGGAAGAACCGAAGACCGGATCAAACGACGGTGGCGTACACGTCGAAAAGATAAACACGTGCATGGGCAATTTAAGAGCTATTAAAAACGTGTACGAGGTAAGACGAAATAAAATTTTAATAGGTAAATTGAACAAAGTCTAATTAACAGCCGTACCTACGGACGTAATTATAATACTAATCAACTAATCATTTTCGTAATTTTCGAGATTTATCGTTTACGGCCTTCGAGCCCATTCCGAATGCGTAAAACGAATAATATTGTACGTTTTAGTTATTATGACGCAAAGAAAATAATTAGGTATACAATATTGCTACGATATTGTCTACCCTCGGGTAGACCTATAGGTGACGAAATGCGTTTTATACTTTTGTCAAATATCCAGGCCCGGTCACACGAACGTTCTGTAACGATTTACAGAACCATCAGAATACTTACAGGCCTATAAACTACATTGGTTGTGTTATTTACAGGCCCGCGAGTGGCTGTGACTTACAGAACGAATTCGTATCTGTAACTTCTTACGGAACGATTTGCGAATGTTACGGTCGGTGTTATCAATGTCGTTGCCGACATTTCTGACGGTTTTCGGTTTTTTAAAAACTTGCGTATTGCAAATCATACATTTCTGGTGATAAAATTAGACTACAAATAAGCGGCGAGACAAATATTTCGGAAAAACTACAAGGATGGGCGGTGTTAATATAGATACACGGAGAAATAAATATATTTATGTACTATTAGAAATTGACACCGACAGGTGCTATTTAAATCGTTAATTTGGCGATTTGTTGATATTTAATATCACGTGTATTTTGTCGAAATTTATTTCACAATTTCGAAAAATTACATTTTTATTGTAAACTAAATATTATATTAAATTATTAATTATTGTAATATGAAAATGGTAGACGAGTATCAGACGAGCCATCGCCGCCCGGGATAGATCTAACCCGCTTATAGAGTACGATGATGTCGGTTTCAAACAATGATTCGGGCAGGCACTAAACACTGCCTACCTACTAACCTAATATCGAAATATTCTACAATTCATTCATAGATCTGTATTACTAATCTATGAACTGATTAGGTACACAGCCAATACAATGATCATTATTTAGTCATCCAGCATTCTAGTACTGCTTGAATTCGATTTATCACACCTAAAGCGTGCAAAGGTACTTTCATCAGCTATCAGGTTGTTCGGGGTTATCAAATAAAAATACACCGTTTAAACTTTAATTCATCCGGTAATTGCGCAGGTTATAATTAATTTAATATTAATTACAGATTCACTACACGTTATTTCGGGTAACACTGTTACGTGTTACAGAGTCCGAAATCAGACACTTCGCATAGCGTTTAGCAATTAAGAGTCTTAAGGCTGTTCTAAAAATCTAAAAGATTTCGCAGTCGATTTTTTTTTTTTTCCAGACACAACTCCACGCCGTTTTATCGAAACTCGCGGTCAGCAAAACGCGACATTTGGCATCACTGGCCTCAAAGATCGACTTTAACGGCTATTATTCGTCATTCGGTGTGTATACATATACACCTAGGGGATGGTGGGAAGAATGTTGGAGGGGACTTTTTTTATTTTGTTTTAATACGATACCAAAATATGTTAACATTATATAATTACTAAAACAATTTTTACAGACGATTGTATCTATCGAGCCGTACCCATTGCACTTATTGAATGACATTCACCTCAGCTTTCCGTGTGATGTGCACCCACGACGTGTTGTTCGCAATTATAATAATATGTAGTATAAATTGTGTTAAAAATTGTATTTTGCACCCAGTATTTCGTTTCCACATTTTTTTATAATTGTATTGTTCATTTTTTTTTTTTTTATTTTCCCGTCAGTTTCCAAGTCTGATAAATAAAACCGATATTATAGTTCGATATTCCTGGTGAAGCGTATTTTTATTCATCAGTTTATAATCTAGTAGGGTGGCCATAATTCAAAAAATAAGAATCAAAACAAAATAATTTCAGCAATACGAGTACATTCAAAATAATATTTATTAGTAATTATAGTTTTTTTTTTTCTTAATTTTTCATAATTATGCGTATATATCAACTATTTTAAATAAACTCGTACACCTTAGATCAGCGATTCCCAAAGTATGTTCCGTGGAACAATCACAAGGGTTCCGCCAGATGTACGTGCATATCGAGTAAATGATTTTGTATTAAACTTCGAAAAAAAATAAAAGCATATAAAACACAGGAAAAAACACTATCGAACATTTGGAAAACCTCGAAAAATCATTATCTCAGTACATTCCCGATAATTATAATGACATTGATTTGGTACAAAATCTTTTTGTGGACAAAAAAAAAAAAAAACCTGCCATGTTATCCGTGTTTGAATTTGAAAACCTTATTGAAATTAAGAGTATGTCTTCCATAAAACATAAATTTGAATCCGGATCTTCAAAACGAGTTTTGGATTGGACTTAAGGACGAATAGCTTAGGACTCTAGCTGAAAGAGCTATTCTAACTCTACTAGGTACTTTTTGTAACAACCTATCATTGATAGGCTGGTTTTCCTCTTAGGGTTATACTAAAAATAAGTACAGAAATATTTTAATACAATTTTTTTGGAGTGTTGATTTTTCAATAAATAATTGTAAAATTAGGGTTCATTTGGAATTAGAGACATTGGGGTTCCACGAAACACAAAGTTTTTCCTTAGAAAAAGATTTTTCTTGGTCGTGAAAGTTTGGGAATCGCCGCCTTATAGATCAGCGTTAGACCCCTTAGAGATAGTAAAAATAGGGTTACCAGATTTCAAAATTCAAAATACGGGACTAAAAAAATGTCTATTTCAAATACAGTGAAATCTCCCTTAACGGNTTTTTGAGAATTACGATTAGATGCATCAGTCATAATTGATACAAAATTGCACTTGAGTAAATCTTTTTTTAAAATATTAACAGCATAGGGTAAAAATACATTAGTGATGATAGATTTTGTTTTAGTTCTACCACAAGTAAATTTTTTCTCATACAATTTACGAACTAACTGAGAAGTACAATCCATAGAATTGAGACTTTGACTGTGTATACAAGTATGATGAGCAAAAATCCCTTCATCTGCAGCTAATTTTTGTTCTTTATCAGCAAATTGTGTTTTTGAAGAAAAAAAATTTGTCAATTTTTGAGATTTAGACGCTCTAGCAGCGTCGTATTATGTCGTTCCGATTTTAAACGTTGTGTAATATCCGACTTACCACCATGTTCAATGCTGAATGCTGCTCCACACACAATACATTCAATTTTATATTCTTGTCCTGGTTTTTGACATTTTTTTAAGAATGTGTATTCACTTTGTAACTTTTCATTAAAAATGTGCACTTTCTTTTGGGCATTTTAAAAATTAAAACTTAACTATCATATTACTATGTTACAAAAACGATTATAGACTAATGTATATTACTGTGGTCTGACCAGACTATGAATTACGATAGAACAGATAAGAATAATAATAATTTTCTTATCGACTAATCTGTTTTATAATAATATGCGAAATGGTAAACATAATATAAAATTATAACAATCTGTTAATGGAAACGAAATCGGTATCGGTCATAGACCTATAAAGTAAACCCATATAGGTCTATGGTATCGGTCGGTATGGTCATATGGTTATATTATAATCTTCTATTATCTGTGTGGCCGGCGGGTAGTGATAATGAATAACAAGTAGGTAATTGTTATCTCAAAACGAAAAAAAGAATACAATATATAATACGGGTACATATTTTAGCAAACGGGACACTTGGTCAAAAAAATTATTATACGGGACGTCCGGCAACCCTAAGTAAAAATGATCGCGGACCCTTACCCTTCTCCTTATACCATTTTATATATCAGTAATATCGTTTTCTATATATTACATGGTATTTTCAATTTACTTCCACACTTGAAACACAGTTTAGAGAACGATATCTTAGTTGTATTATCACAGGTATCGATTTTTGTAGTTTTTTTTTTTTTCGTGAATTAATGTGATTTGGTGAAATAATGTTTGTTTTGAATTCATCAGAACCAATTTGAAATTCTGAAAACACAATGTTTACTTTTTTTGCCTATTAGAAAGACAGGCCACAAATTATAAAATAATATATGTATAAGTAGATTGGGTATTTGTTAGAATTATTTAATTGCACGTTTATTAATATTTTCATTTCTGTATTTTTATTTTTACATATATATATATATATATATATATATACGGCCCGATATCGTTGATTAATATAACACAATATGGTTAAAGGTTAACCGTGAATATTTGATTAGCACAAAAAAGTAATTAAATTTTCATTATCTGTACTTTGAGGTACCTGCTCGTAATTGTCCTATGGTAGGACATGAATAATGTATGAGATAATTATATTATAATAATAAAATGGATTGACTAATGACAATTGTCGGGTAAACATTTTCAACTTTTCTATATCGATTCTAATGTAAAAATTTAAATTGCTATAAAAATGCAATTTACATCTCAACATTCTAGAGGTATTAATAGAATAGATGAATATGACTGTGTTTAAAAGTTAACAAAATATATTGTTGATTTAAATAAACCTAGTCTTTAATTTTTAATACATATTTTTCATTGTTCAGACTGCAATATTATTTATACTATTCGTATGGAAAAGCTTACGTCTACTGTTTTCTCATTAAAATAATATCAAAGACAATATTTTAAACGTAATATAAATAAATACTCAAACAATTTAAGGCGTCAAGTTAATGTTTATTCAAAAGGTTTACTCAACAAAGAATCAATAATAATGTTGATTGACGTGTTAATGTTATATTAACTATTGTATGCTAAATTTTAATAATGTCAATAATAGTTTAAAAGATAATTTTGTTTTATTAGAACAAAAATAATAAAAATTTGGTATTCATATTGTAATATTAATGTTCGCATACTAAAGTGAGAAATTAAAATGATTAAGTCATAAAAAAAAAAATAAATAATAATCATCATAAAATGAGGCATACTCACAAATCTATAGAAAAAAAATTACTCAATAGTCATGCAGTAATATTTTTAATATAATAGCAATTAGTAGTATATATAGTATATATAGTTATATACATATATATTATGAATGCAAAAATTATTTAAGAGAATAATAACAATAATTAAAATTTTACTTCTAATTACATACTATATTATAGTAATTGTTGAGGACTTTTTGTGGATCATTTTAGTGCATGTATATAAAAATATTACTACATTGTATTGAGTCATTTTAAAATGCTGTTTAAATATGTTTACATAGGAAACAATTTGTTTTAACAAATTACAACTATCTAATAATTATGGGAACATTAATTAAAAATCATTCAATTATTACGGTACATTAATATACAAATAATAGAAATAACATAATAATGTCAGTATGGCATTTATGGGGACATATGTTTCAATTATTCAACTAAATGCTAATGATGCCTAGTCAACCATGATGTCAATTTCAATATCAGATAACCGCAAAAAATTGTGATGATTAATTTTTTTTCTCTGACATAGAAAGGCAGTGAAACAGTGTGTTCTAATTCGATTACTCTGCGCGATACACGGCCCATCTGTTGGCGTAAGTGAGCCACTTCATCAGATAATGTCATTGGTTCGCTAACACTCGTATTAAAGAAACTTACACTGAAAAACAAAAGAAAAAAACAAAATCAATTATACAACAATACTACCTAATGAAAATCAATGTTGTTTTATGTATAAAATATTTGGATATCAGTCATAATAGAGCATATCCAGTGAGATACATGGCAAGACCCGTAGATTGATCATAATACAAATGTCAGATTCGATTAAAAAAAACAAAACATATGTTTATAGCTGGTGATACAAATTTATATGATACCTCTTCTTCTCCTTCAACTTCAACTCAATTATTTGGGAATGGCCAATAAATTTTTATGATCTAAATTGCTAATTTTCTGTACTCTAGCACTTAAGGTAAAACTTTCTAATTATTTATTTTAAATATAAAACTAATGTTTATACTTTTGATCAATTTGCTGCACATTGTTCGGAATCGGCACAACTTCAGTATTTGCTGTAGGGGGCAAAACAGTTTCTTCAGAAGTCTGTACTGGGTTTTCAAAGTTGTCCAATACTGATGGGAAATAGTGTCTTGACATGGTAATTTTTTGAGGTGGAGTCTAAAAACACAATGTTTTCTTAGGTATATCAATAATAATATTATTATAGCTCATAATTAATTACTTCCATAGTACCTAAATGGTGACGAATAGGATTGTATCAGCTGACAGCTGATGTGAAATTCTGTGAAACAGTATAAGGAGTTCTAACAAGACTTGGGTAGATTGTCCCATTTCAGGGACAGTGTGCGAAGACAGCAGGTAAGGGGAGATACCATGGTGCAAGATATTTGCAGATGATATAGCTTTAATAGGAGAAAATCTAGAAGAGATTAGCAATGGGCTTGATGAATGGAGTAGCATTTAAAGGAAAGAAACTAAAGATAAATAGAAGTAAACCGGACTATATAGAGTATGAGTTAGGAATAACAGAACAAGACAGCTAACGAAAATAAGTGGTGACAATTATAGGCAAGGTTGAGAGTTTTAGGTCATTTTAGTAATTAGGATTTCTTGTGCAACAAAACAGTAACTTTGATAAGAATGTGAAATATAGGATTAAGTATTGTTTAATAGTGGATAGAAATATCAAGTGTTTTTATATGAAAGAGACTTCAAATGAGACTTAAGATAATTTCTAAAACAGTATAGTGAGACTGACTATGTTGTATTGTTCAGTGTTGGCGGAAGACAGAAAAATGAACAGAGAATAAGTGTAGCAGAGATAAGAATGCTTAGAGGATGAGTGAAGCGAGGAGAAAAAATAGGATGAGGTTAGGTACATAAGATGTAGCTTAGGTGTGTCTTAGATTGTAGACAAAATAGACTAAGATGGTTTGGGCATGTCATCAGGAGAGAAGAATTATAAATCAGATTAGAAACAGTAAAAACTGTAATGAAAATAAACGTAGGAAGAATGAGTAGAAGAAAAAGACTGAAAAAGAGATGGTTGGATTGAAAATGATATAAGAACAGTCCGTATATACAAGGTAGGAGATTGGATCAAATGGAAGGGGTTAAGGCAAAAAAGAAGATAAAATATATGAACAAGCTCCTTAACACAAATTAATTTAGATTGCATTGCATAGGGTATTTTCTTTGGAATGTTATAGTAATACAAATATATTTCATAGATATTTACTTGAACTCGAATAAGCTCTTCCGGGGCTGGATGAGGTATGATTAAATCATCAATTGCAAATTCCTTTGGATTTGATGTGGTACCTCTATGTTGATTATTTCCTACATAAGGTATTAATTTTACTATTTCATAGGCATATAAATACATGTATAATGTAGAAAATAAAGCAAAATTAATTTCCATATTTCTTAATGAAATATAATTCTGTATTTTTGCATTCTGAAATATACAAATTGCAAGCAAGTATATTTGTGTCATATTTAAAAATATAAATACAAGATACAATTTCGAACTAAAATAATTTATATATAGTCTCAAAAGTTTTATTATAATGCGTGTGCTATGTTCTAATTGCATATATTTTAAAATAGGTAGCCAATTAATTTAATAAGGATATAATAATTGTTTATTATTTCATTAAAATATAAATAGTTTTAACAATACAATTTAAGATATCATTAAATAAGCATAATTTTTTATAATTGTATAAAACAATTTTTTTTTTGTTTTCCAAAACATATATTACAGAACCATAGAATAGACAATTAATTGAATTAGTAATAAAAACATTTATTGTTTAAATTTATTTGAAGAAATACTCAAGAGAGAAAACAGAAAGGCGATATCTGAAACTATTTGACCAATTTTTACATGGTTTTTCGCAAAATGATGCACATTGTCCAAAGAAGGTTTTAAACTATTTAAATCCTTAATCTGACCAGTAGAAGTAGTAAACCTAAACTGCACAGTAGGTTGGACGAGATACAAAATAATAATTTATAAGTATTTTTCATTCCTAAAACGCAGATTATTTTTTTTTTATTTGTCTATAGTAACCTAACCTAACACAAAGATAAGCATTTATTGCATGGGCAAAGCCGGGCAGAACGACTGGTTATAAATAAAATTGATAAACTTAATTTAAAATTTTTAAAATACTATTATATGCTCATAGTATATTTGTATACTAGTATACATAGTATATTATCTTTGTTAATTACCTAATATTTATTAACATTTGTATGATATTTATATGCATGATCATTTTAGATTCTGAGTGGAGCAAAGAAGCTTATGGTTTTACAAAGATGTTTATTTATTTTTTTTTTTCTGTGGACAACTTTTCTACTAGATAATCTGCTCTAATTTTTATGTGTAGCGTCTTTTAAGAAAAATAGTCGATGTGGGGAAGTACTTTAAGGAGGCCATTTCTTGATTTTCTCAAGAGTTTTCTCATTAAATGTGAAAAACCGAAAAAAAAAACAAGAAAATGCACTAAATATATTAGTAAAATATTAAAATTTTTTTGGAAGAATTTTTTACAACCAATTTTGCTCCAATTTATAATGATAGCAATGTTTTTAAAAGTAAATTTGATTGAAGGAGAGGTACTTAAAGAAGGCAATTTTTTGATTTTCTCAAGAGTTTTTCCAGCAAATATGAAAAACCAGGAAATTAGATACAATATTTAACAAATATTATTAAAGAAAATATATAATGTACAAGTAATTATTTTAACATAGTATGACATACATATTGTTAACAAAGCAACACTATTAACCAAACTCTGCTCAGAATCATTTTTGTTAGCAATGGTTAATCGTTGAGTACAAATAAAAATTTATTTTTCGCTCTACCTTTCCAAACTCTCACGTACAACAATCGCCCACCCACGTGCAAAGTATTTCAGTCTTTTTAATAATTAATAAACAAATTATCAGTGAGCCACATACAATTTTTGAAAATTTTGATGCTTGATTTGTGTTAACGTTGCTCAAATAGTTAGATCTAGTCGTGACAACCCTTAAAATGTATGAATAATTTAAATTATTGTTTGAACTATATAGGAACTAGTGAAATTTTTTAGTATGGTGTCAATTAGGTACTTGTGTTTTAACCTAGGAACTTTTAAAATAATCAACTATGTAGGCATCTACTATTGAAAGAACATTATATTGGATTATTTCTCTCAAAAAACCTACATATAAAATAATGAAAATGTAAAATATGTTTTATTTGTATAGTCTGTTCCACCGTGTTTGATGGATTTTTCTAGCGCTGTTAATATTACATTTTTTTTTTTATCAGTTTGTCTTTGAGGGGGAATCGGTTTGGAGAAAAATTACATTTTTACTTTTATTTATTATACTTTCATATACGATTAATAATTTCTTAGTTATAGTCATTTAAATTAGTCATGAAATCAATTAATATTCAATAAAATAACAAGTTATGCGAAAAAGAAATTACGATCAGCACGGTAATTCTTTACCTTATATTGAATATTAGTTGTTTCTACGTCTATTTTCTAGAAATTAAAATGGCTATAATTAAGAAACTATTCATCATATATGAATATATGAAAAATAATTTTTTTCGAGTTGGCTATTTTGAAAATTTTCTAAAGTGAATAAATAAATATATATATTTTTTTTGTGTGTAGAGGATGAAAATAAAAATTTAATTTTTCTCCAAAACCGATGTCCCTCTTAAAGACAAACCGAATGAAAAAAAATTGAAAAAATTGAATATTAACAGCACTAGAAAAATCCGTTGAACACGGTGGGACATACTTTATACGAATAATGACAAAATATAAAATATAACAGCTACTAAGCAACTCAATAATTGTTAAAATTAAAAAAAATAATAATAATAACAATGAAAACGATTAGACGAGAAATAACGTTACAGTACACATATAATTTACCCATTAGAATAATTTTTTCTGGAACACGCATATCGAAATTGTCACCAAAACGAGTGCTATCATCAGCATAGAAACTTGTGGGTCGAAAATCGGAAACGTCGCCATTCACTCTAATGCTTTTTGGTACTTGCATTTTATTGCTGATTTCTTCGGTGAAATTTGAATCGTAGATGTGCTCGTCCATTTCAAATTGTCAAAATCTACATAGGTATATGGAACATTTTTAAAATGTCGTTTATGTAATATACTTAACAATTGTTTACATTTAGCAGTCTGTTAAACGGGTTATTTTGATATTCAGAAAAATATTGTTCAAATGCTTCTCGGTACCTATTTAATGGAATTTCATCCAAACGGAACGCGCCTTTGGAAAATGTTCGTACAACTACAAAAGGCTGGCGCTAGGGTTGAGAAATGTATGATCAGCATTCAACGATGGTCGATAATATTGTGGTATCATAATACTGATAAAAAAAACATCCGTTAAAATATTCATGATAAATAGATAAAATAATTTCAATTTTCAACGGATGATTTCTCAACAGTGGGGACACGGCGACAACTGATCAAAATCGTTGGTACTTGGTATATAGGGAAAAGGAATCTATTTTTTTTTTAACATTCAAATTTCAAACTATCAACTACAAAAGTCTGTTGTCTGTGGAATATCATTCAGCCGTCAGCAGTCAATACTCGGTTAACTAATACCATTAAAAAATTGGTTTATATTAATATCTATTATTGCTGTTTTCTTTTTTCTAACATTTAGTTGTACTCATGCAAATCGCATATAAACATTAATTAATGTTTAATAAAAAAAAAAAAAGTATTCCTATAATATACACCATAAAAAAAACTTATATACCCGACTGATAAAAAATATGAAAATTGACTTTCAATAAATTAATATTTACTGATGAGTAATTTATAGTCATAATAAGCCAGTCTTGCTTGTTTTCCTATTATGTACTGTAGGCTAGAGAGTTTTGCCTATGTCTCTAATTTTTCACTAAATGTGTTAGGTACTTCCACAAAATAATTTCGTCATTGGTAATATATTCAAAAATTTAAAGTTACAGTGCTAAGAGTGCTTCTTAAGCTTTATGATCACCTTAAATATGTTGTAGGTATACGAACTTGTAATAATGAGTGATTGTATTGAATAGTTTTAGATACAAAGTGGAGCAGGAATGTATTGGTTTTACAATGATGTTTATTTTTTTTATTTTTATCTGTGAACAACTTTTCTACCAGAAATCTTGCTCCGATCTACAAGTATAGTACTTTGAAAGGAAATCGGACCGGGGTGGTACTTCAGGCAGGTCATTTTTTGATTTTCTAAGGAGCTTTTCCCAATTAATGTGAAAAACCTAGGAAAACGGAAAATAAGTACAATATTAAACGACAGACTATCAAAGAGAATATAGACCTCTTGCATATGTAATTATTTTACCATAATAGAACATATATATTGTTAACAAAGCAACACTAGCAACCGAATTCCGTTCAGAATCATTTCTTTGTTGGCAATGGTTAATCGTTGCGTAAAGATATACATTAAATTTCCACTCTACTACCTTCCCAACTTCAAACCTATAACAGTGGCTACAACCGTCCCTATTATTCTAGGACAGGTTTTTATTGTATGCCCGTGCTAACCTACCTAGTTTTACTGTATAGGTATACCATGCTTTTTATTTTTATTTTACTGGCTAAACAACTTTTTGACCAGAAATCTCGTTTAATCGAAAACTCTACAGCTGAGTTTTGATAGAACATTCCAGTCTTTTAATTTATCACAAAGTTCATTTTTTGAATTTTCTTTCACTTTTACAATAATAGGGGTTAACTGTCCTTTTTAATGTAATAGTGAAAACTAATTGTAGAGGCCTGATATTCTCACATTTTCTAAATGGAGTTGGAGTATAGTTTCTGAAATATTCTGTACATATTTTAGTTATTTGTGGCTGTTTGAAATATTCTAACTTTTAATATCATCATTATTTTGAATATAATAAAATTTGTTTAACATTTTAACATCTTCAATTTGATAATGTTTCTCTTTAAGTTTTACTAAGGATAAACAAAAAAGTTTGATGTTATGTATAATTTGTATAAATGGTTTAAGTTGAAGTTTATGATAAAATTAATTAAAACTGTAAAAGATTAAAATTTATTTTACAGTTACAGATAATACAGCTTTCAATTTCAATTTATCAAAAAATGATTAACGCAACTTTGTCCAGAAGAATTTTTTTTTTATTTATTGTTTTAGTTCTATATTTATATTCTATATACTATTAACCTGTATCTCTACTTATTTTACCTTAGTGCATTGGTTAAATAAAAAAAAAATACAAAAAGAGATGCTGATAGTTGTAATCATTATATGATTTCCATATCATGCTGGTCGCAAGACATGGCTATTATAACTAACACTTCTCAGAGTGCATGTGTTATGAGAAAAATAATTAAAAATCAATATAGCTGAATAACAGTACTGTCTTGCAACTAGTGGGTGGCCAAACAGTCAATCGCGGATGATATAAAATTGAATCTCCATCTTTATGTAATTAGTAGATAAATATCAATTTGCTAATCATTTTTGTCTTAATATATTATCTTTATTTTGTTGTAAATGTATCAAATAAAGAATTCAATTCAACAGAGTTTATCTTGGCAATTGTATTTACAATAATATTATATTAGTCTTAATAATAGTGTGATAAAAAACATTATTACTTTATTATTTTAACTATATATTATTGTTGGAAAGTTGATCCTCAAAAGAAAAATATATTCTTAGTAGATCTCTACCAAAAAATGTTTGGCCGTTTCTGGTATACGTGATTATATAATGAGTACTTTAATAATTTGGTGTTATAGGTAGGTACTAGAAAGTAGATATGTTTTTATTATGTTTATTAATTAATAATTATTAAAATTGTATTCAATAATAAACACATATAAAACCATTATAAGAAAACATTACAACACAATATTAAACTATATTACTATAATGTCATTTGCATTATGCCTATGCATGTCTATGATTTAATGATAATATATTGTAATTTATTTTAAACTAACAAATAGGTAGTGAAATATTAACGAGTTAGAAATAAAAATAGGAAAGTGTATTTTATTTCTTTGATAAAAAAAAAAAATGCACAATAATATTATGAATTTTTTATGTAACAACCATAAGAGACCACCATACGTAAGAATCAATGAAATAACAGAAATACAAAATGTTAAAATTGCATAGATTAATGGAATCATGTGTTTGGATTTAAATAAATCATTCTATATAATATATTATCCAATTTTTAAGTTAACTTAACACAGATACTTATCACATCAGTATATTGAATATCATACATTATATAGTTTTATTTTAAATATAATATTTAATAATACATTATTATATGTAAATGTACATTTGTTTGATTTTAATTTTAGATTATTTTTGTCATTGTTCATAGTTACATATATATATACATATATATATAAAACAAAAAAATATATATTATATATTACTTATATATACTTAATATAATACTGATATTATTAATAAAAAAGTGTTTGTTACATAGCAATATAAAGCCAAACCTATTACACGCGGAGACCTGGGTCCATGTGAACACCAAAGCCAAATTTCCAAAATTTAACCGCTAAAGGTGACTGACACAGGGCTTTTGGTATTTTTGGAACAAAAATCAACTATTTTATTAGTCAATGGGTTACCTTTTTGACATAGATGGGACATAATAATAGAAAAAAGTAATATATCCATTGTTTTACTCAGGAAGACATGGATAAAATAAAAATGTGCCACTGACATTAAATTCTTTTTCACAATTTCAGACTTTGAAAGGATTTTTTAAAACTTCTGTTTTCAAATGGTTAAAAAGGAAAAAATAAACTGGCACAGGCAATTCCCGGTTAAACACCTAATCACTATAATATTATGTTTTTGGAAATTATGTATCCTAAGTGTTTTTCTAAATATTTAAAGGAACAAATTAAAAATAAAAGAAATTATACGCAATTTTACAGTACAAAAATTATGTTTATAGCATTTCTTTTTATGGTTGGATTGGCATAACATTTAAAACACTTGAATAAGGTGGAAACAAAATAACAATTAATAATTATGAATTACAAATAAAGTAAAAATGAGCAACAAAAAAAGCTTACTAACTTAATATTAATAAATCACACAACAAAATATTTTGAATCTTATAATTGGCCCCTGGGAATAAATAATCATAAAAAAATGAATTAAAACACAAAGATTGAAATTAATTTAATCAATAAGTTATTGTAATTTCTTTTTTAATTTTATAGAATTTAATTTTTATCATTATAATTGTATGATAATCTATAAGGCTATCTATTGTTCATCCTAAAAATGACTAAAATAGGAAACATTGTGTTAACACATTCTTAAAACTAAATATATTCATAAATTGGAATTGGAAACTAATGAAAATGTTAACTTAAACAATTATACACTGGTTTTAAGTTGAAATATAGTCAAAGCAAAATTGACATATATTATGGTGTCATGCTCTGAGGGACTATTGGCAGTTTATTAAAATATTTAGAGTAAAATATATTTGAAGTGAAAACTTAAATTATTATTGTCCATGACGATGAACCCTTTCAACATAAAGATCAAATAACAATCTGTTACTTTCATAGTAGTATGGATTTTGATCAGAAGTCAGGTCTGGGTCATAATGTAAATTTTGTGTATCTTCTTCTCTAATATTTTGTTGAATATTTTGACTACAATCAGTTGTTAATTGCTGGTTATGTTGCGCTGATACAGATGTTGACGCGTTCTGTAAATTAGTTTTTAAAATATTACAATTTTAATTATTACGTTTTGTAATAGTAATTATATTACAAAGTAATAAGATGATAGTATGTTTTTATAAATATGATTGAAATAAGGGGTTCTGGGGTATTGAATGACAACAAGTGTGTGTTAGCCAAACTGAAACCATACAAATCATGGTAACTGAGTAGGGAGAAACAATTAAAACCTAGGTACAGAGGCGATGTCAGATGTTGCGAGATCCTAAACAAAATACTGTTTCATAGTCTAAATATTTTACTTCACTTTGAACCTTAACTTACTGAAGAAGTCATTAATTGCCTACTTATAAAGATCATTTGGAATTTAATAGTTATTACACTATAATGTTTGGAAATATGAATGCACATACTATTGTAATAATTAAATTTGATAAGAAATTTCATTAATTTACAAATGGATAGTGCAAGAAGATTCACAGAAACATTTGGGTATCTACCTATTCCTCATTTTCTCTATCTATCACATCTAAATCAATATTATATTATAGATTTTAATTTTTAGAATGTTAAAATAAAAAAATTAAAATTTGTATTGCTTAATTAAATTAGACAGGAATTATCCTGTCTAATTTCATATGATGTATGTATGTTTAACATAGAGAGAAAACCGCAGCTTTCAATCCCCCTTAATAAGGGTTTTCTATTATGATGACAAAAAACTTTCCATCGCCTCACACAGAAGATAATAGTAATAAATTTGAAATTAAGTTTCAATTGCATAATGTAGATTTAAAATCAGATTATTACAAACTATATAATATACACATATATGCTGTTGTTAAATCTAATAAAATGTTCTGCTTGAGTATCTATTGGCAGAAGGCACTAAGTCCACTATGCTCTGCGCTTCAACCATCCGTGCGTAAGAAAACGCGTTTTTAATACAATTCTGTATATGTAGATTATAAATCAAACTCTAAATTTGAAGTATTCAGATAATTATAAATTGTCCATTTTTAACAAAATATGTTTGGATACCTACATCAAATTAATAGAATACATTTCCGTAATTAATAATAAAACATTTGCATAATAGAATTATTTTAAAGTAATTTTTTTTTTTTCTAGGTAATATATCAATTTTAGTTGAATAACTACCAGTAACCATAACATAATAAAGAAACAATATAAATTATATTATGCAAATAACCTATTGAATTTGTGTTTCATTAACTTTGATGTATTTTCTTTGTTAGGACTTAAAGAACAATAATTGTCATTTAATTATTAAAACAACATTGTGGTGTTTTATTTTAAAAACGTATATAAAATGATCAAAACTAAAAAACAATGTAGTCTGAATTCTATAAAACAAAACTACCTTTTTATACAAAATCACAATAAAAAATAATGAAATATACTTACACCATAGACATTTGTGTCTGCCAAAAGATGTTCACTAGTAATTGGACTATCCTTCAAATACATACTGTGCATTCGCTTCGACAATGGCTTATAATCATCATCATATTCTTCTAAAGATCTTTTTCTAAACAGGAAATACAATTAATAAAGAATCTACTTATGTAGTATTGATAATTGCCCAAGATGAAATGAATATCTCACCTTAATACACGTAGAGCATCTGTAGCCATTTTGATAATTGAATGATTGTTTAATGAGATCTAAATTAGGCCACAAAGTCTGGTACAATTTTTGTAGTTTTAAATATGATTTAAAACGCTGTATTTTATATACTTACCTATTAAATGTATAACAGCATATACAGAATTTTGTTCTCGTCTTATAGTCACATAAACGTGGTAATATTGTGTTATATTAAAATTGTCATCAAATGTTTATTTTTTTATATCACTTCAAAAATATCTTTAATATTAAATTTCGAGATCGAAAAAATAAAAGAGTAATAAATTATTACCCACGTTTACAAGACCTCAAGTCGAGAGACATTTTCTTCGACTTAAAAAATAAATATATATCACATATTCATGTTATCAAAAAGACAGAAACATATGGTTTGTTATCGATTTATGTATGCGTGATAATCCATAGTGATAATGTAACAATAACAATGAGCTGCCAAAAAAAACTGGTGTAGTGTTTTATTTGATAGGCGGGAACCGTAATTTTATTCCAACGATGTACGGGGGACGTGAACTTGACCGTTCTGCTTGCCGCTCAGTCCATATTTGACTACAAATATAAATCTATTACTTTGGACGACGAAAATTTAAAACAGTTTAACAATAAATACAGTCAAATATTTTTGTATAACGAATCTAGGTCATTTATTAGAAAGTCATATCTCGAAAGGTCGGATATTTTAAAATCAAGTTAAAAAAGACGGACATTTGAACAATGGATGGGAGGTGGGCCACTGTTGTAGGTGAGAAGTTAGGACGTGGATGGGAATTTAATTTATATCTGTACGCAACGATTTATTATTGCTAGCGAAAAACAATGCGGGGCGGAGTTTCTTTTATACATGTACGTACATTTTCCCGTTTTTCTCAATTACTACAAAAACCGCTTGGATTTGAAATCAAAAAATGACCTTCCAAAAGTACTACCTAAACAAAATTTCCTTTGAGAAAAGATACTACACTTGAAAATCGGAGAAAGATGTCTGGTAGAAAAATTGTTCAGACAAAAAAAAAATAAACATCATTGTAAAACCAATACGTTCCACACAACTCTCCGAATCTAAAAATTAAAATTCATATATTATAAAAGTTATTCCTCATAAACATTATATGAAAATAAACAATAAAGGCAAAAGTATAGATGACAAAATTGAATTAAGTATTAACCCTTTAATCCCCCATGCAATAAATAGATAATAATATGCAACATTTCAATATACGTTGCGTCATCTAACGGATAGTTTCGACACTAGCCACCATTCTGTTTTTTCGTCTAATGAAAAAACGTTTCTGAGCGCAGTTCAGTTGATACGTTATCAACTATGTATATATGTCATATTATGGTAAAATAATTAAATAAGCATTACGTTTTTCCCGGATTTTCACATTTGTTGAGAAAAATCCTGAGAAAATCGAAAAATTACCTCTTTAAAGTACCTCCCCAGTCAAATTTCATTTTAGAAAAATTGTTATCATTATAAATTGAAGCAAAATTGCTGGTAGAAAAGTTATCCAAGATGAAAAATAAAAATAAAACTAATAACATCTTTGTAAAACCATGGGCTTCTTCGCGCCACTCGGAATTTAAAAACTATACGGATAACAATGATTATACGATAATTTACGCATATAAATAAAATTAAAGTATGTTTTTAAACTATTTTAAATATTATTATTATTATTATTATTATTATTGACAGTATAGTTGTTTTGGGGATTTATTTCCAGGGATTTTTTTCCCGGGGGTTTTGAGATTTTGTTCGGATTACCTGTGTACTTAAGCTGCCTCCTAATAATTTATCCTTTCATAATAAAAACAAATAAAATACTCAAATACGAATAGGTACTACCATTGATTATAGAACTGTATAATTTAATTCCACACGATAACGTTTTCACAAGCAAAAATGTACTCAATGGAAAAAATAAAAATGCAAAATACAATAGAAAACGCGTTGGTCATCCAAATGACGTTATACTAGGCCGGAAGAGCGTTTAGTCGAAATTCGGCGTTAAAATTCCGACCTACCCGTTACCCCACCATAACCTGACAGGTCGGCAAAATGGAACTTCAAATGGAAATTTAGGAATATGATCATTGATATCAATTTTTTTGGAAGTTTCTTTAACTTTAATACATAATTTAATTATATTATTCTCAATACATTTTTTTATATGTTTATTTAAAAAAAAAAAGTCTGTATTTACGAGTCATTTATTTGTACGATCGTTGATATTCGTTGGAAGTGCTTTAAGTGTGAAGTTCTTTATTTTTAAAACACTTTATTTTTTTAAGGTTAATTCAATTTGAACTTTTTCTTAGGGACTTAAGTTTTTTTTTTTTAGGAGAAAATAAATAAATATTGCTCTTTCTGGGTTTTTTATTTGAACCATTTTTTCTTACTCACTTAATTCTCGTTAAGTAAATATAGTTCTTTTGAAGTGAATTAAATGTCGCATTAGTCTTTCGGGATCTATGTCGCGTCTATTGGGTTTAACTCTACGTCTAAGATCGTTATGTTTTTCAAATGAAATATATCGGTATGTGTTCGCCAAAAGAAGGACTTCCAAAAGTTTATTATAGTCCACGATTTCTGATACATCTACATTATTATTTCTAAGGTCTAAGGTAACAAGTTTGACACAGTTGTATACATTTTGTTTCTGAGATATTTTGTTACAATATTAGATTAAATATTTTATTCTGACGAGTTTTGTTAAGTTTTCGATTTTACCTATTTCGTTATTGGTTAGAATGAGTTGTCTGAGGTTGATTTATATAATAGTAATATTATTATTGGATAAATTTAGTTCTTTGAAATTAATTAGTTTATTTAAACCGTTAATGGTTATTTATTGTTATTGGATAAGTTGTCTTCCGTGAGCTTGGTCAAGTTGTCCAGATTATCTATATAATAGACAACATAAAAACTATACTTAGGGAGGTTATAAGAATGAATAACTGGGTGTCAACATTTTATGTGAAGCAATCCAACATCATAGGTAAAATGTTGGACTTCGACGCCACTGGCTGCACCCACTAGTCAAGTTGTCGGGCATTTTTTTTAAGATATGACGCCACCAAGGAAACTGCAATACGAAAATCAAAAAACGAAGGTGGGTCGCCATCATTTATTAAACATAAATCAAATATTTACGCTTGATGACAATACAACTTAGTAATTTTAAAAAATTAAATAAATATATAAAACACAAGAAAATGCTATTATTAGTACTGTTTATCCTCGTCCATCTTCCCAGGCCGGCTAGCGCCCGCCGCCTTCCAGTTTTCGTTCGTGATTGTACCAACGATGCCGCGTCATCGTCTTTTTTAATCATCACTGTTTAGATGGAAATCCATCTGCCCGTGTGGACGGCCGCACCATTCGTTGATGTTGCCTATCAGCCGGGGAGTCCATTATCACCGGTGGTCGCATTAGCCAGCTTTACGCTTCACCTCCGGTGGGTTTCTTTGTGAAGATTGGAATCGGGCTGAAGAGCTGGTGCTGCTGCGGGCTCGTGCCTCCTGCCGAAGACCGCCTCTTACTCCCTGGCCAGTATGTCTGCAGGCGGGGTTGCGGCCAATACGTCACCTCGGATACAGTACGATAGGCGCAGATGCTACTTAACAGGACTTTCGTTATTGGGCACATACTTGAGCGTTTGTGACCGTGCGTGATCGACTCCTTCGGGCATGATCCTGGCCAGTTGAGAGCATATTCTCTCAGTCTTTGGCTGTTTTCACCATGTGCGATTTAAAGAACATAGGCCGGTCTTAGATGCCAATGTAGGTCATTGTAGCTTTCAAGAGCCATCAACTTCCAATACCGGCTCGATGAACTTGTTCTTGTATGTGAACAGGACAGCAGTTGTTATCTCCGGGGTGATTTCAAGGCTCAGCTCCGTGATTTTGCGGCCCGCAATGTCTAGCGCTTGGTTTACCAAGAATTCGACCTCCTGCGTTGTGCGCCCAGCAATCAGCACCAATGTGTCGTCCACGAAGCCCAGTAGCTAAACTCCGGTCTGGACCGCTCCTCGCAGTATGGCGTCGTACGTGATGTTAGGTTAGGTGAGTAGGTAGTAATGCGAAAGCGGCCCCTCTCCGTTAATTATTTATAATAAATAAATAAAATTAAATAAATTATTAAAAAAAAAAAAAGGGACTTAACCTAAGCTAACCTAGCATGACCGTCTAACAGAGAGACGCGTAAGACCGTTCGCGGATCAATCAGAACCGTCCAGAAGCGGTGCTGGTCTGACCTTTGCACTGCGATTGACAATGATCCCTGGGGCGTGCCTTACAAGGTAATTTCTGAGATGCCTCAGCTGGCAATCTCCGGGCATCACCGCCAGAGGCCAGAAAAACGCCATAGCGGACGCTCTATTTCCTCCCAGGCCAGTGATAAATTGGTCAGCAGTCCCGCTCGGCAACCGCTCGCAACTCGGCAGTAAAAAAACAAGTACCATTGTAATCAAATTTTAACGCCATCACTTCGTGCATAATGTATTTAGAACATCATCCGAGTTATATAGTTATCATTGTTGCATACATTTATTTAAAAAACAACTCGTATAAATATTATGGAGACACGATATCGAAAAATAAACGTGCAATTTGTAATAATTTTTTCTCATACTTATTTATGTTGTTACGGACTCTGTCCTTCGAGTATTTAAATAATTGAATAACGACAAGAGACCATAATTTTGTTGATTTTTTTTTTTTTTAATAAACGTTTTGGAATCAAATTTAAACGAAAATCGCAAAAAAAAATTACGGCACTTCAAATTATGTATTAATAATGGTTTATCGTTGCTTACAGATATATAAATTAAATAACCTTATGTATCCTGCCTCACCAACTTCTAACCTGCAACAGTGGCTGCACCCGTCCCCAGTATCAGTTCTTTTTCATATTCAGTCACGTTTTACATTTTTACTGTGATAAACCCGATGATGAATTTTTAATCCGAAACCGGTCATATAATATACTTATCATAACACGCCAGGCGACGCATTCATTAATTAATTATTTTTTTATTTTTATACATACATTATTTATGAACGTGTTTATTTACAATAATATGTGTTGTTAATTTTTAACGAATTATCATCTTTCAATAAACACAATCGCGTATCCGATAAGTTGCAATATAATTCGTCAATTTATGCGTCCAGCTTTGATTGAAGTGAATAGGCGTGTTTATTCGCGAAAAACCAAAATGATAAAAGGAATCCCCGACCCCGGATAACCAAAGCGGGATACAATAGATTACTAACTATCTATTCGACTTATTTTGAGAAAAAAAAAAAACAAACAAATTACGGCGTTTGAATAAAAATATTTGGCGTTTTGTCCGTAACCCGGTTATCCACCGCGCGGTTTTCAATAACCGCGGTCCGCAGTGGCGTCGCGTGGCGGCCACGCGGGTCCCGCGCGGTAGCGTTTATCAAATTAGACGGGCACACGCCGAATTTCACTGCCCCTCGGCCACGCGCCCGCCGAATCGTCACCGAGGACAGACGTCGCGCTCCCGATCGTCGCGAACCCGCAACCCGCTAGATCGCAACGGCCGTGCGTTACGTGCGTACGTCCGATTGCGTGTGCAGTACGTACGTGTACGCAAACGCGTAAATTCTTATACAGTCACATCGGCTCTGTTGCGTACGTGCGGGTCGTAAACGCGCGCGCGAGTGTACCGCACTATAATATAAATATGTATGCACACCGTGGTTCACTAATCGCGCTCATCCCCCTCCCCACTCCCCCCCCTTTTTTTTTTCTTTTCGTTAAATTTCCCACGTATTCGAATTCCGATTTTTCACGTTTTTTATGCGCAGCCAAAGCCGACAATTTCGAACACTTGCATACTCTTCACGACACACAATCCATAGTATCCCGTGGGCGGTACCGAATTTTGGTTTTTCAAACGAGTATCTGTATAAACGAAAATAAAAATCCCATTAACGCTCCGCGAAAATACTCCGTGTGTGAAAAATCCAAGTATACGAACATGTCGTCTTTAATTACGCTTGAAAAACTCCCACAATCGGGATTTGAATACATGCGAAATTTAACCGAAAAAAAAAAAAAAAAATGGGCTGAACACGGTTGGTGATTTCACCGTGCATAAATAACATGTGTGTATATACGTATATTATTATTGTGTCTATGTATTGTACTCCCGCCGCCGCCACCAACCGATCTTCTATCTAATGGATGATTTGCCGACGACGACCAGGAGCTTTTAGTACTGATTATAGGGTGGCGTTATACACGTACACACACGCGCGCGCGCGCGCACATACACAAACACACACGCGCACACACACACACACACACATACACACACGCGCGCGCGCACACACACACATACAAATATATCTGTGACGTGTTATTCTGCGCGCGGTAGGGCGGGCGTGACGGCCGGAATGTGAACGGGCCCGAACGTTGCCGGTGCTTTTACGCTTAATACACCCGCGCCGCGTCACCGCCGCCGCTACCCGTCGTCGACCCCCAATCGTGCCCACCGCTAAAAGCTTTCTTCCCGCCGCCACCGCTGCCGCGCTGTCTGCCGAGGCGGCGACGTCATTCGATTATTATCGTTACACAAGCGAAAAAGTTTTTCGGGTTTTCCGACCCTTTTTTTCATTCGTCTACCACGACCAACGCTACCTCCGTTGCCGTCCGTAGCCGCCCTCCGTAAAGAATTATCCTTCTCTAATTCGTTTACCCTTTTGCATATCGCGTATACAGTACGTACGTACACGTGTTACAATGATTACAATGATTACCTATGGTGTAGGCGTATAATAATGTTATGCACCTAGGTTAGGTAAGATATATAAAATGAATACATAACGCATTAGGATATTTTCCACATAAACATGTGTGAGTGGGAAAAAAACCCGCGTGGTAAATGTTTGACGGCCCCCGTTTGACAGTGGTGGAAATCGGAGGAAGCAACCCCATCTGTGTATATACATTAAATTCCCGTTTGTGTGGTACCTTCCCGGCTTCCCATCTACACCGGTGGCTGAAACCGCGTGTGAAGTGTGTCCGTCCTTTTTAAATATTTTTTTTTTTTTTATAAATATTACATATTAATTCATAATATAATCTTTACAGTGTAATACGATGTGTTTTTTTTTTTTTAAATTGTTCAAATGTTCAAATTTTATGCTTTTTTGTTTTATATTTTGTTATTGATTTAAATAGTTTTTAAAATTGTTCGAAAATATATTGAAAAGAAGAAGAATACTTTGTCGCTAAAATAAGCTGTAGGTGGTCACTTCCAGCATTCTTTTCAAATATGATTATTTGCTGTATAAAGAGCTAGATAATATATTACGAGAATACAAAAAAGTATAAAATCGATTCACAAAGGTAAAATAATTCATTATTTTACAAGTTATAACATGTATTGCATGTGGAAATTTATATTCGAGAAAATATGTTTTGCAGACTCGTTGAACAAATAAAGCATGCCGAAGTTACATATGTAAAGGACACACTTTCCATATTTGCATAGTGTGTACAAATAAAGAAGAATCAGATATTGACATTTAAAATTCATATTCAGAATAAAATTTTATAGCTAAGTCATTTAAAAATTAAAATCATCCGTTATTTTCTATATTTTTTAAATGCCATTTTTTTTTAATTTAATTTTATTAAAAATAATATTTATTTTAATTACTAACTTTTCCCTTTCACTTGCACCCTTTCACATTATCCTAGGACAGATTTTACAATTTTTCAATCGAGAATTTTTATTTTTTGTTCTTGACCATGAACACGTTTTTTCCTAGTAAATTTGCCTTGATGTATAAGCGTAGCACCAAAAGAGCATGAAATTTGAACAAATTAAAAAAAAAAAAAACATTGTATCACACTGTAAAGATTTTATTATAAATTAATATGTAATATCTATAAAAAAAAAAATATGTATATAAAAAGGACGGTCATACTTCACATGTGGTTGAAGCCACTGTTGTAGATGGAAGCATACAGAAGGTACCACACAGACGGGAATTTAATGTATACACAGATGAAGCGCCTTTTCCAATTTCCACCACAGTCAAAAGGGAGAGTTAAACATTTACTATGTTTTCGTAAGCAACTATAAACCGTTGATAACGAAAAAACAATTCTGAGCAGAGGTCAGTTGATAGTGTATTTTATTAATTTATAATGTTGCTTTTTCAACAATCTATACATCATATTATGGTAAAATAATTACAACAATGTGCGTTTCCACGACACCAATGATTATTGTTTAGAAAAAATGAAAATAATACAAAATTAAAGATAGCAAAAAATAAATAAAAACGGTCGCCAATGGCAACATTATTTATAATCTTTCAATATTTTCTAATCTGATTGCAGGGTAATTTAATTTATATCTAACATACGAAAAACGATTCTGATACTTTTTCAACAATATTATAATAGTTTAAAATAACTACGCTATGAATACAATGAATTACACAGTAAACATATCGATGATGTTTTGAAAAAGGGGCATATACCACTAAAATTCGAAAAATACGTTTTTGGTATCAAAAAAATCGGAAAAATTATAAACATAAACTGGTAAAAAGGAATATTAAAATACAGAAAATTTAGTTGGTGATGTCGATTAAAAGATATCCAAAAGCCCTTTTAATATATAATTAAATCACCATTGATTTGTTAAAAGGGTGTATACCACATTTAATTCATGTATAATTTGTGTACAATGTATTATGATAATAATTAAGTAATTACGGCATTATAGTAGGATTAATTTTATTGTTTTTTATATTAAAAACACCATCGATATATATTACTTCATGTAAGTAGTAAAAATATTTTACTATTTTACAATTTCATAAATTTATTAGAAATGTAAAATAAAGAAAATTTTAATGCAGTACGTGTCCATCAATCAAAAATCATTAATTATTTTGTCCACCACTGCTTAGCAGCACTAAAGTGTCTAAAACTCTAACGGCAAAAATAACGTCCAACAATGTCCAATAAGTTATATAACAAATTTGTTGGATATATTCCTGAAATGTCTGTTATGGCAACTTTATGGGGGTGGAACAACTGGAAAATAGGTACAATATTAAGCAAATATTATTAAAGAAAATATATATTGCCTATGTCATTATTTTACCATAATATAATATATATATTATTATTAATAAAGCAACAATATCAACTGAACTCCGTTTAAAATCGTTTTTCTTTAGCAATGGTTTATTGTTGCTTACAGATATAAATTAAATAATTAATTTAATTTTCTCTCTACTACCTTCCCAACTTCCCACCTACAACAGTGGCTTACCTACGTGTGAAGTATGTCCGTCTACTTTTTTTTATTGTTATTCAGTTTTAAATATTCGAAATGACATGCATTTTCGACACAAAAACTTATATTTTCCTTTTTTAGGCGTGGTCAAAATTTCATTAACATTTTTGATCTATTTATATAGACATTTATTTTTATTGGGTTTTATGCAATTTTAATAGTAGGTACTCTGTTGATAAATCTGTAAATACAAAAAGACTAAATAAAAATGCTTTAACATTTAACAAGAGGTTACAAGTTGTACATGGTGGTAAAAAACAAAAAATTGAGTACTGTAGTAATTTTTTTTATAATAATTTTAATACAAAATTTTGACTAAAATCTTAGACATTACGGCCTTTCAAGACATGTATAACCGAACTTTGCTTTAAATCGTTTTTCTTTAGTAATGGATTATTGCCTACATTTTTAAATACTGATTTAAGTGAATTAAGTTTGGAAAATAAATGTTTGTTACTCGAGGTCCAATAAAGACCTTTATAAAGTCATCGTTCTGCATATTATTAAATATCACCAACCACTTACATTGTTTGTGCGGAAATGGTTATTTAAAACGTGTTAAGAGATTAATAAGAGATTAGAGCTATAGTAGCTATCATCAACATACGAGATCTAATCAAAAAGTATCGAGACTGTTAATAAAAAAAATATACATATTTATTAGATACAGTTATTTACATTCCATCTCCTTAAAAATATGTTCCTTCTGAGTCTATACATGTTCTCAAATGTTCCTGCCATTTTTCAAAATACCTCTGGAAGTCATTTTTAGAAACTCCTCGTAGCTGCTCCGTTGCATTTTGTTTTATCCATCTACATCTTGAAAACGTTTACCCTTAAGCGCCATTTTTATCTTCGGGAATAAAAAAAAATCATATGGAGGTCTGGTGAATAGGGGGGTTTAGAAACAACTGGGATATCATGTTTGGCCCAAAACTACTGCACAACATGGGCTGAATGGGCTGGTGCATTATCGTGATGCAATTTCCAACTACCAGACTCTTTAAACTCGGGTCTTTTTCTTCGTACAGCGTCTCGTAAATGGCGAAGAACATCAATGTAGTACTCCTGTGTTATGGTCTGTCCTTTTGGAGTATACTCGTGATGAACAACACCTTGGTAGTCGAAAAAAACAGTCAACATAACCTTCACTTGACTCCGAACTTGACGAGCTTTTTTGGGTCGTGGTGAATTAGGTGTCTTCCACTGCGAAGATCGTAGCCATATATCCAAGTCTCGTCACCAGTTATAATTGATTTAAAAAAAAAAATTATCGGAATTCGGAACACTCTAGCAAATCAGTGGCGATCTGTTTTCGGTTTTCTTTTTGCTCATTTGAGAGCAGTTTTAGAACAAATTTGGCTGCAACTCTTCTCATGTCTAAATCAGTCGTCAATATGGTTTGAACTGATCCAAATGAGATTTGGAACTCATCACTAATTTCCATGATTGTCAAACGACGGTTACCTCGTATTGTTGTTCGTATTTTTTGGTTCATTTTCTCATTGCGGCTTGTTGACGGGCTTGTTGTCCTTCACGTTTATCACTTTCAGCAGTTGTTCTACCCTCTTTAAATCGTTTAAACCATTCAAAAACGCGAGCACGGGACACGGATTTCGTCTTTGCATGCTAACAATAACATTTGGTAGGTTTCAGTAGCCGTTTTTCCCAGTTTATGGCAAAATTTAATGCATACTCGTTGTTCTATATTTTCGCTCATAATGAAATCCGACAGGACGTAAAAACACACTCTACTGAATCGCACCTAGAAGCCAACTGAGACGATTTTAGTCTAATCTATGTCTAATATATTTTCCCAACTGATAAAGTTAGATTAATGTAGCACTCGCAAGTTCATACTCAAACCGGTTTACGATTAATCTTATCAGTCTCGATACTTTTTGATTAGACCTCATATCATATACCTACTGTTGGTTATAATACAACATGCATGTATGTTTATAGCATGTACAATGAAATTATGTAAATGTTAAATTAAATTATTCAAATTATAAGAATTCCGGTTATATTGTGTGACTACAAAAATATGTCAACTGATACCACCAGTTGGTAGCATATTAAAAATTGGTATTTTATAACAATAACAATTGATAACAGTTATCAATTTAGCAGTTTGGCAGTTTAGCAGCACCGGTAGAGGCTGACACACAAACCGATTGTTCACGCCACCGTGCACAGCAACGTTGCGTAAACCGTTTCGGTCGCGGCGAATCATTATCGTCCAAACTCCTCCGTAATGTTAATAGAAATATATGCGTGTTGAATTATAATTTATAAATTATCGTTGTTCGTTGTGTTCCGCATCTCGTCGTATACCTACGCGATAAGCGTGGGAGAAATACCTCTCTGTTATGCAATTGTGGCCGTTGCCTACGCTCGGTTTTGCCATTATTTGTGTGTATTGTCAGTTATTGTACTCCGGCCGCCGTGCTTTTTCGGCGGTGCAACATCGTCGCTCTCGTTTGTCGTTGTATTTTTTCGCTGTTATCTAAACTCAATACTATTACTCTTTTTTTTTTTTTTTTTTATTAATTCTTTTCTAGTCTCGATTCGAGTCACTGTTAGGCTCGTTTCACACTTATACGGTTTTGGTCCGGTTCGGTGCGTATTCGAACGAAAACTCTTCACACACATTCGGTTAGTACCGGGTGTAATTTCATAACCGAATCATCAAATACGCAGTCGCCCACTATGTCTACAATACTCACTATGGAGAAAAGACCAATTGTTACCACGTTATTTCTCTATAGAACTTTGGACCCGAATCGAAACCGAACGAAACCGATTCGTGTCGAGGGGATTTTCGGTTCTATTAGGTACCGAACACACACCGTATCAACGTTTTACACTTTTTCGGCGGCTACCGAAAACGAATCGAATGCGCGTCGAACCGAACCAAACCGTATAAGTGTGAAACGAGCCTTATACTCGTTGGTAAAAATATATACCTTGCACAGTCCTAAAAAAAAAAAACCGTAACCCGTTCACGTGCTGACCGCACAGGTGTCCACTGCCGGAAGGGTCTCGTCTTCCATCATCCCCGGACCCGAACTGGATACCGGTTTATACCGGATATTTTTTTGTTCTTGAGTTTCAAGTAGTTGTAAGTGACTTGCCTGGTGGCAGTCAAAGAATTCCCCCCGTGCTACGGAATGATATAATTTAGTTCTCTTCTTCGCCCTCACTCCCGGCTGTCGAGCCGCGTCGCTAGTGTCGTTGTTGCCGCTGTGGTCGGTGTGGTTTTGACAAAATCGAACTCAAACGCCTTGGCCGCCCAGTGGGTACAAGAAGTGGCTGGGTGTGTTTGATTGCTTACTCACAGACAGTACGGCGCAAGATTTATAAGTTGCCTACCCACCAAGCGGAAAGACAAACGTGATCGGTCCTTTCAAACCGATCGGATCCTTCGGTCGTGAAGCATTTTTCGCTTTAACACTAATAATAAATTATTATTTGAAATAATTTACATTTTTTTCGATTGGTACGAGATATTATGTTTTGTTTTTTCTCATAATTTATAAGAGAACTGCTTTTGGCCCTACTGCTACTACCACTGTTATCTCTGCTCCTGCTGATTGCCATTATCACCGAATAAGTCGCTATCACTGCTATTTCTGCTCTTCCGCTAAACGGGGTAGAACGGGGCTATACCAATAGTTTTTTTTGGTTAATTCGTCATAGCTATAGCTAGATCTTAAAGAACTACGTCTATAGCTAATCCGGCGGGAAAAGTAGCCCTAGTAATTACGGACCGTACAGTAAATAGAGAAGTAAAATTAGTGAAGGGAAGAAGAAAGACTAATCAACCTCAAAATCGTCCGGTTGTACTTATATTCGACTGGTAGACCCTGACCGGGGTAGCGCGTCGAAAGTGTTGCATGCTGTTACCTTGATTCGCAAACGGCAGGTCTACCGTGCTGACATATAGGGTCGTGATTATGTTGTACCACGGCAATATAAATAGGTCTGGCCACTTCAGAAATTTTGTTATTATAGTCGGTCCCGGGGATGGCTATGTAACGCTATCTATATCAGAAGTGAAATTTTAAGAATACATCAACAGATGGTGTAATTGTCGATTGTAATATTTTACCGTATATTAAACCACTGCTATATTGATGTATGATGTATCTATATAGTATATTGGTACATGTTCGTGGATTAAACTAATGTATTGTAATGAATATCAACAAGTAAAAATTGTTTAGATAAAAAAAAAAAAAAATGATTGAGTAAAAATAATATAAATGAATCAAGTTTTGCAGAATTGAAATAGTTTTTCTTTTATTTGGTTGTTTTTTTGACTGTATTTATTAAATTTCTTAGTAAACTGTCGCGTGCACATATTCATATAATATCTTATAGAAAATGAAAAATATCATTTTATACTCAACACATGGGAATTCAAAATATCATCCATTCTTTCATCAAATATATAAAAACTTATACTACCTAACAGTATGTTTGGTTGATTCAATTTTTTTCTAAAAACACGAAGTAATATTTTTCAATTTATATAATATCCTCAAATTACTATTTATTTATTTAAGGTAGTGGACAATTGTTGGATTTTTCAGTGAGAAGGGTGAAGGCTGGCCAAACGTACGTCATTAATATATAAAATCAGGAAGTGATTTTCGAACCGGTATTATAAATAGTATAAAAATCATTATTTTAAGCGTGATTTTCCAATTTCTTAACAATTTAAATTTCAGACGTCAGTCTATAACAAGTCTGTATAAATAAAAAATAAAATTTTAAAATATAATAATTTTAAAACAAATAGGTTAAAAGCAAATTGTAGCAAATTTTATGTAACAACATGCTAATTGCGTAATAAATATCCGTAAAAATAAATGTTAATTTTAATTATAATTTTGGATTTTTTGGGGAAAGGCATTGCGAATTTTAAAATAAGGCGTGCGCATTTGTTAAGTTTTACTATGAGGTGGTTTAGCGAGACGTGTTACTGGCCCTTCGTTAAAATGTCTAACTGGAGTGGTACTTTAGGGAGATAATTTTTTGATTTTTCTAGGAGTTTTCCCAATAAATTGGAAAAACCGGAAAAAAATAATATTAAACAAATATCATCAAAGAAAATATATAATGCATATAATGTTATTATTTTACAATAATGTGACTTATATGTTGCTGGCAAAGCAACACTATTTACTCTGCTCAGAATCAGTTTTTGTTAGCAATGGTTAATCGTCGCGTACAGATACATAGTACATTTTTTCTTTATCTTCCCAACTCCTCATCTATAAAAATGGCCCAACCACGTGCGAACTATGTCGGTCTTTTTAAAATGTAATTCAGTTTAAAACAATTGTAGCAGAGACTTAAAATCTTGATAGTAAACTTATATTAACTTTTTCTAGATGTGGTAAAATTTTTAAAACATCTTAGCAATTTTTTAGCTTTGTATAGACATTTTAATTTTACGAGTTTTTTACTTGACTTTTATTCGGTAGGTACATTATAGATAAAAAAAATGAAAAATAAACAACTTTGTAAAACTAATACATTCTTCATTACACTCCGAATTTAAAATAGTAATGAATAATTTTCGTACAATTTTTCGTTCTTTTTACGTAATTTTTGATTTTACTCAACTATTAAAAAAAAACTACAAAGAAAATCAGAAAAACAACTTTTTTGGTCACCAAAAATATTAAAATTTCAACAAAAACATCTCTTGATGTTTATCTTTTGGAGCAATATTTATGGTAGAAAACACGTGTTAACATGATTAAAACAATGAAAACAGTAACGCCGCGATGTGCCGTAAATACTTTCCGTTTTACATATCATTTTCTTTCGAAATTTTTCGAAACCCCTTGTAAATTCTTTGCAATACATCAATGAAAGTAAACTTATTTTCAAAAAAGATGCTATAGTTTACACTTCGTAGCAAGTTTGCTGGTAGAATAATTGTTCAAAGACAGAATAAAAAAGAGTAAAAAAAAAAATACGTTTATAAGTTAAAAAGTTTTGAAGATACACAACAAAAATGCGTGGTACGGTTTTGTTAGAAAAAAAAACTTAAATTGTCTATAACTTTATAAATAAAAATGTTAACACTAAAATTAATTTTAACTAATACTGCATCTATTTGTGGAATTTTTAATATAGGTTGCCATTTAAAAATCAAAAGTAGGTAATGGTTTTACTTCTGAAAATAAGGGTGACAAAAAATAACATAAATATAAAATTGTAGAATTGCTTGCTTCTTATATGTTTTAGAAAACAAATTCTGAAAAAAAGTTAATACTTTCCGAGATAAAGAGTGTATCTACCTAAATGGATCACCGGGTATATATTAAACAAAAAAATGATTTAAAAAATTACAATTAAAAGAATTTAAATTATAAAATTTGCAGCCAATAATTATTATTATTATTTTTTAAATTAAATTTTATTATA